CAAGTAACAATTTCGTGAAATTAATTACGAAAGTCGTTGAGAGGCTTCAAGTTCAAAATAAAACGTTTCTTTCGATATGGTTTGTCAGCTAGAAAGATTGTTTGATTTTTCTATGCTTCAGACCACTGCACCTTGCAAGAGTAACCATTTTATTGTTTTTTTATCAATGGAGTATCATTCAGTTATAAGTGATGTGGTAAGCGACTTCGTATGAGTAAGTAATTTGATGAGGTAATCTGTAACTCTTCCCCAGTTCAAAACAGTTTGATTCGAGGTAAAATTTAGCCACTTGCCAATGAATAGTTGAGCCGCCCGGCTACACTATTTTTACTTACCGATACTAGTATGTTTTCTTCGTGTAATTCCTGTCTTGTCGTGAGGTTTACCCTTCTGTTTCGTGCAATTTCCTCAACGTGTCCGTTCGTGGATGGTGAACCGGGTGAAATGTGTTTAAAGAAGATTTCTGTTGTAGCATAATATCATGACGCCTCCCCTTTTTTATCGCAAATTTTGCCCTATAAGGTGTTGAAAATCTAGAGTTGATCACCTTCAAATTCGAGTTGTTTGGCTGTTGTATCTTTGTCCGCCAAATGAGCACAGAATAATGATTTAGGAGTGGGTTGTGTTTTCTCTGCGATTTCCATGGTTTTTTTTTATAAGAACAGAGGTTACCAGTTCATGCCTCACTTTTGAAATATTGAAAAATGAATTTCTCTGATGTTTTAGGCATGTTGTCATTATCTTCCAGAATCACATTTAGACCTATTAGCTAGACCCGAACCCATCTGATTCAGATAATCGGCTTGAAAGTTATCTTTCGTTTGGTTTGGTTTTGATAGCATTGCTAGATCCCCTACATTCATTGGTGGGGAGACAAGGTTTATATTGGAAGGCATTCTAATTCTGGATTCAACCTTATTCCGTTCATTATCAAGCAGCCCGTGCACAAGAATATCACTTTATCTTGAGCATATCGCATCATGAAGGGTGACTCTTTGTTCCGAATCAGTGTGCGAAATAGCGACCAGCAGCGACCAGTATAGTGAGAATGTCATCCGTCAATTTCGGCAGATGAACGCCATTATCTATTAATGATAATGGCAGTCCGCCACAGGCGGGGGTCGGCAGGTGCAACTAGAGCCTGTCCCTTTCGTCTACGATATCGGTCTGAAAGTTGCCTTATCACTATCATGATAGATAGATAGATAGATTTTATTTGGCTATTTTATACATAGGTTTACAGCACGCCGAATTTTTGCACTAAAGAGCAATATTGTCTCATGGTAATATGTAAGAACAATTATTAATATTAACGCATACAACATAATATGGGGCTTAAAATACAAGTAAACTCAAATCTAAAAACATATTTCAACAAATAAACAAGTTGGTGTATATTGACAACACAGATTGATGATGAAAAGAGATTTAGAACAATCATCAGGAATTCAAAAATTCGGACTCAGTATAAAAACAGTTTCCTATGAGAAATTTTTTCGGCTCTGTTTGGAGATCTTTCGGGAGATCTCTATCATTCAGGGAGCGCAACTCTGAACTCAACTTATTGTATAGTTTTAAATTGATGGAATTTGATTCCGATTTTGTTAATCCGTAACGGGGCAAGGCTATATAGTTAGCTGATCTCGTTCCATATCCATGAATGTCTGAGGAAAGAGTATACTCTCTTCTGTTTGAGTGAATTTCACAGTCTGATAAATGTATGAACAAGGTAGGGTCATTATTTTCATTTCGGTGAATAACTGTCGACATGTGAATAGCTTCTAAAACGGGAGAGTGACCGGCCATGCCTGCTCGAGGCACGCGAACGGCTCTTTTCTCGACGATTTCGTTTCTGTAATTTCTTTTCCATTTTATATATTTGTTTCAACAAGTCTTTGTTTGATATTTCCTCTTCCGAATCTTAATAAGGTGATGAATATGTTTTTTCCATCCCCGATGCTAAAAGAGGGAGCTACTGTGGAAAAGAGCACAACAAGTCGAATGAGAAATGGGAGTGACGGTATCCTAGGGTTGGAGAACAGTAAAAAAAAAGAGCGAGAATCTTTCAATATTGTGCGAAGCAGTATCATCAAGGCGTACTACGGAATGTGATATCGAAGGCTGGGCGTTAAGAATAATTCTTCCTGGTCAATAATAAGAATAGTCAAACCTTACTTCAACAATATCATCATGATGTATGTACATAATTTTAACGTGTCGCTGATGCCCTCAATATTAGTCTGCTCCCTCAATTTTAGTCTGCGGACAGTTTCGAGTATTGAAATACGTTCGTTCGGAGAGAAACGAAAGTTTGAGTACTCCAGGGGAATCTAGGACTAAAAATTACAAGTCAGACAGTAGATATGGATGATAATTTGAAAATTGAAGTACGCAATATGATCTTTACTATGTATGCACAAAGTGATTTCCTTTGATACTTCTTCACTACTTTCAACTGACTTTTTCACAGAAAAACACATCACTCAGAATTTTGAAAAAAGACCTTCTCACAAATGTGAGATTCAAATATAAAAAAGAAGACAACAGGCGGTTATTGGTTGAGAAGACGGACATATTTATAATGAGTGCAGAGCTTTTAAGATAATTTTATGAAAATCGCAATCTTAGTTACCCTACACAACTCGTATTTTCAGATGAAACTTGTATATTTGCAAAAGGAAATAAGATCGGTCGTCGGTCGATGATAGTCAATATCTCCGAGTCATCGGTCAAGCGTACACAGTTCACAGTCAGTCTCGTTTCAATCATTCTATTTTACTATACGCTAGAGACATGGATTTAGTTCAGTTACATACTAATCTGTAATCCTTTCATTTTCTACTATATTTCCTAAAAAAAATCAGTTGTGACATAGCCAATTCACATTTTTTTAGGTTGAGACTTGAGAGTCAGTCCATGTTTGTTTATTTCCTGTAGAACTCTCTAACTTACTATCGTGTATTTCTTTTGCGTCGGCAAAAATGATTGTCATTATGTTATTTTTCCAGTTGATGGTTCCTCCCTCACACAATGAAAAATAGGGCATACCACTTCATTATTACTTCAGTTCAAATTCATAAAACAAAGTCACGAATAGTCATATCTTTCTAGAAAATCTATCGAAAATTGACATTTGAAATGATCAAAAAATCAAATAAATAAATGTGTGCGCGAGCGTTGTGTGTAACATTGGCAACGGTGTAAACGGGTCTGAATTCACCCTTCGAATATAAAAAAATAAATATTTACTTTTTGTCATTTTATTATAGCAAGTCTCTTTGTTTCAGGTACTCCATAATAAATTTATTAGCTTCTAACAGTCTCACATTCTTTCATGCTTTGAGAAAAAGAATTATATTCTTTATTATCTTATAAAACATTTCTGTACTAAAAATTACAAACTGATCTAGATAATTTTGCAATAAACCCTTGAATAGTTTGGAAATATAAATCAATGCAAAAGTTGCCAGTCTTTCATTTACAGACTGCCATTGTAATGTTTCCAACATGTTACTAATAGAGGTACGTCTGTAATTTCAAAATTATTCGCATTCCTCTGTTTTGAAGTTTCTGTGGCGATGAACTGTCTCTAAATGTGCCTTCTTTCGTGGAGATGGGGAACGTATACAAAACAAGGTGGATAGTTTTCAAAGTGGACATAGTAATTTCCATAAATATTCGAGTTCAGAATGTACAGTGCGGCCCAAATAAATCGTAACGATTTTTGGTCGAATTCAAATATTTTTGTCAAAGCACATGTACTATTCATTCTCTAGAAACGAATTTTGTTTCCCTCATTAGCATTTTATGACCTGCTTCGCGCTGGTGAGGTATTATAGTGTCCTCAGAGGTGTTATAATTATTCGAACGTGAAAATTAACAATGACATGGTTCACCTTTGGAAACTATGAATGACATGAATAGGAATTGATCTTAACTGCTTTACTATCAGACTGGCCGGTAGTGATAGATTTTTCTTAATGTTTTTTTTATGTATGCAACTTTCAAGTAATGATTTTCATGGGATTTCAAGTTGTCCTAGACAATTATCAATTTGTGCTCGCATGCGGCGGCGTCACCAATCAAATTTGAATTCGCAACGAAAATTGAAGATTTCGAACGATTAGTAGAAGAAATTATATACAGTGTGACATTTTGAAAACTTCCCACCCTCAATATCTACCTTCCAGTAAATAAAATATGAAAAATCAAGAAGATATTTTTCGGAAACTGCTCGGCAGAAAATGATTAACTAGGGTACCGTTGGACAGAGAATTGACCTGTTTTTTCGATATCTCATATTATTCACTGCAAGGAAAATATTGAGGGTGGGAAGTTTTCAAAATGTCACCCTATATATGAAATTATAAAAATATTACAAATGTCTTAACAAAACGAATGAGACTCATGAATGAGATGAAATCGTAACTCATGAATTAGAGTTAAGCCTTTCAAGGGATTGTTCTACAAGTGTTTGTTAATTTCCAGGAAGTATCAAGCTACAGACCGACAAATATTATTTCTACAATAGGTAGGCAAGTTACGTTGTAGATTGTAGATCATTCATTGTTTGAAAGTAATCAAAGAATTAGTATGCATATTTCTCTGAAGAAAAACTGAGAAATTAGAATATTGAATACGTCTCTGAATTTTCAAATATTATAATTCACGAATTCGAGTATTATAAACATATCTCGGAAACTGAAGAAATATAAAATAGAGGTGAAGAGTTATAGTATTTAAACATACCCTGTATATACAGGGTGAGTCATAACTATTGGGACATAGGCTAAGGGCGGATTGTATGGACCAAAATATGGCGATAGAACCAAATGTATGCCCTAATAAAATATTGCTGTGGTAAAATATACAGGGCGTTTCAATCGAAGTAGTATTTGCTATAAACTGACATGAGATGAGTCCAAAGCACAGTCTCCATAAATAAAATATCATGAACTGTTCAATTGCGTTTTTTTCGAAAACGGATGAAAATATCATGTCCTTACAAGAGTACTGATATCACATAGAAATTATATCTTTGTCATATTTTCTGGTAGTACATGACTTTTTTTGTTTTAGACAAACACCCGCGGCAGCCATAGCAGCAGTAGCTCCATCATCATCTCCGACCAAGCCCAAGAAACGAACCATAAAATTGAGCAGCATCACTAATTCGGAGGAGAAAGAGGAGAACAAATTCATGGACAACTACCTTCAAAATCTTTCGTACGGATATAACACTCTGTTGTACGTGTTTCAGTATCTGAAAGTTCAAGACTTGCTGAGGGCAGGTTGCGTTTGTACGATGTGGCGAGACATAGCTAGCCACCCGATGTTGTGGCGAACGGTAAGAATGAAAAACTCCCAAGTCCACAGCTTCGAGGGTCTCGCAAACACTCTGAAAAAACACGGAACCCGGCATTTAGATTTGCGTAAGATGCTATTGCCCACCGGGGGAGACGAAATTTGGCCAGAGTTCTCGAGAGCAATAGAGAGAGTTGACATGTTGAGAAGGATAGAGCTTTGCAGGTGTCCTGCATCAGTAGTGGAGAAATTGGCTGTTTCCAATCCACAACTGGAAGTCATCAATGCTGTCACTATCAAGTGCGAAAGTATGGATTTGGAGTCACTGAAAGCACTCACACATATAAAAGAGTTGCGATTGAAATCGACAGGTGGTTTGACCTTAACCTCAAATATTGATTCTTTGAAAGATATGAAATGTCTCAAGCACCTTTCTTTGACGTCAATAAGAGATTTGGACAGTATGAATTTGAATGTGATTTCTGAATTTACTAATTTGGAGTCTTTAGATTTAGGAGAGTGCACTGATTTTCCAAAAAATTTTGGTAGTGAAATACTGGTCAAATTGGATAAGTTAGAAAAGTTGAGGCTTGAAAAGGGTCAGGGTAACTGTTACACATTCGAAATACTCGAAGCTGTGAAAAATATGGCTCACCTAGAGCAGCTTGAATTGGTGAATTTTGACATCAAATCTGGATTTGATAAAGCTCTAGGGGCATGTCAAAACATCAAAAAACTTCTTATTATACCTACCTACATCTCCCAAAGTGCGACAACTAATCATATGGTACTAGGAGGGGTTTTGAGATTGCAAAAAACATTATCACATTTTGTTTGGGGGGTGACGTTAGAACTTTTGCGAGTAACTGAACTATTTGTTGACCAGTGTGAAGAACCTAAGGAAAAGAAGGAAAAGAAGCAGGTGGGTAATGGCGATAGTATTCCCGTTTTGAAGCCTGTACCTCTGTTGAAGGATAAGGATAGTGAAATAGCCCCTGCTCTAGAACCCCCTCAAGTAGAGATTCTGGCCCTTCCTAGTTTACAAAAGCTATTAATGCAAAATCTGCCCACTACTAGGGTGAAAATTTTGAAAATACCGTTCCATGCAACTTGGAGGCAGAGCATAACTGACTCTGTGAATTAGTTATGGTCGTATTTTATCTACAGTTCTAGTTTCTAGGATAGATTTAGTACTAATATAGTAAATTTTACAGGTAGAAACACATATTCTTTTGCGATTTCAATTATATGATTAGGTTTTCGAAACTTTCATTTCATTTGTACTTGAACATCAATGTTGAACTTGGTTGTTGTAAATAAGGTCAATATCACAAACTCATGAATTTCCTAGGACTTTTTCCAGTAATTTATATATTCAATTCTCGATTTATTGAATTTGATTCATTGACTATTTCCATTCTTTTGAATTTTGACTTCAATAGTTTTGTATATACATATTTTTTTCGTAAAAATAAACATTGAAAAAATATCTCTACAAATTATTTAACTTTATTTACTTCCTGAGAAAAATTTGCCATCGAATTCATAAATACATCCTGAGCTTCCTTTGCTCAAAAAATAGATAGATAGTGATTCAGTGTAATACAAGGAAGAGCAATGTTTTTGTTTTTATTTTAGAATGAATATTTCGAGCGGACAGTTCTTACAGTCCCTATAATAACTCAAGAACTCTGCTGCGATTTTCTCGTTCTGATATTAAGTTGTTTGTCCGTGAGACGAGACATCATAAATAGAAGCTCAGTTTGGGCACTAGATCGAACAATAATCTTGCAATTGTTTTTTAAACGTTTATTGAAAACGTCCTATGCGATTCTGATTGAAATTGAACTTTCAGAAAATTTTATGTGACAAAGAACTGATATAGGGCGTTTGAAAATTCACTACAAAGATTCGAATGACGTATTCCAGGTCAAAATTCCATAACTCCTATAGGCGTACCTAGAGAGGATAAGGAAAGGAGGTAAGTATTGGATTTTTTTTACTTTTGGAGATTATGTTATAAGTTCTTGGAGATACTTCCATTGGCCAAGGAATACCAACGATTTTCCGTTCTATAGACAAACGAGTTATGGTAGAGTGTTGTTCGACATATTTCAAGGTTGACAATAAAAAAAATTTGCTGACTAGGCTTGTTGAGTTCGTCTGTGACGGAATGATAGCATTGAATTCTGAGGAACATTTTGCTTGTAAGTATTTATAGAAGAATGAAGATTCGCTGACTTTTCTAATGTGTTTTAATGTTGTCAAAGTACTAGTGAGTGTGGCATCACCCACTAGACGATAGAATATAATCGGATCATGATTACAAAACCCGTTCGCTATACCATAAGACCGGCATAATAATGATAATAATAATCATAAGTATACTGAATACTTATATGATTTTTTTTGTGAAATGTATGTATGTAAAATTTGTATATCGCTACTTCGAAGTTGGGAACCAACTACCCAGAAGTTGAAACTTGTGCGAGGTTAGGAAGTGCGGGACCTACAAACTTTTAGTGGAATTCGAACCACTTCTAGGGCATCAAGGTGCTACCAGGATTAAAACCATGAATAATGCATTTAAAATAAAATCCTCAGCCAAGCCGGATTCAAATCGACTACCAGGATTAAAACCATGAATAATGCATTTAAAAAAATCCTCAGCCAAGCCGGATTCGAATCGACAGTATAGTTTAGCCAAGTTAATTGGAGGGTCTCGGGCCTCACTTAAAAAGGAACTTCAACCCGCCGTCGCCGCGCCGTGCGAGAGATGCTCCAATCGACTTTGTATTGACTACCTTGGCATCTAGCGAATTTCAGCGCATAGACAAACAAAAATAATTCTATGCTTTTTTTCGGAGATGTCCCCACAGGCATAGTATCGATATCGGTGTGTTATCGGCGTATATGATTGCTACACTTGTGGGGACCTGGATGTTGCTGCCACCCATATCGGAATTGCTTGAGTATGTGAAATAATATTAAATTCATATTCCGAGCCATTTTATTTTTTGGATAACGATCCATGCAGTGATGCCTGTAACAAACATATTTACAGGTATCTGTACTCTATTGAAAGTATCAACTATACGTATGCACAGATGTCTCTCCATGTATGTTTTCATTTTTATTCATCTATCGAAATCGTACACCTCAGCATAATCGGTTATTATAATCAATTGGGAAATAAACCAGATTCTATCGTCAACCGTCTTTGGTTGGGTTAAGAACCCTGCCAATTTGTGGATCTTCATGACTACTTAGGAATCTTGACAATCTGAGAAGCAAGTTATTTTCTTTTAAAACGAGATATGTGAGTGCGCGATAGCAAGATTTGTAACTTTAGTGATTTACTGGATCCTGCCAAATAAGCTACGAATATGGGAAATCAGAATATCGAATTTTATTCTTTGGTGTTCTGATTTCCCATATTGGTTGTTTTCAACCATGAATTCCAGGTTAACCAAATTAACAAAACTAACCAAGAAGTCGCTGGCGCTCATCTCACTTCATCATCGCTGGAACAATAATTTCTATGCTCGTGATCCTGCTCTGCTGTATTGGAGTTTATTTGTACACCAAATACTTCAAAAAATCAATTGCCAAGTGTGGTGCGAAATATTAGAGAACAAGTGACAACCAGCAGTGTATAAGAACACAGAGAAAACTATATTAAAAGTGACCCGCGTCAGTGCAGAGACAAAACAATGAATAGACATACAGTGCAGTGCCAAAAGAACATCTCTGGAGCCCACTACCAATGAAGATTTCACGGCCCAGACACCCATCGAAGGCGCGAGCTGAAAACTTATGAGCAACCATAGAGGAATATTAGGAGATGCAAGAGGATTCCAGGAGCAACCCCCAAGGAACAAGATTAGATATAAATCTTAAATATTTTCGTTTGGTTATCGCATTTATTTTACTATGCATATCAGTTATTTTTATTCATATTTAACTATTTCAATTTGCATTGTATTGCCGAATTTTGATGCCTAATGATATCTGTCCAACAATTATTAGCCATTAAAGCCGAGATAGAGAAGATTCATATCAATTTAAAAAAAAGGTGGTCCAAATTGAGTATACAAAGAGGAAAGTTCATTACAAAAATGTGCCCAATTATCAGAATTGGACAATTTCAATTCTCAATATAGTTCTCTCCTAGAAACTCTTGTAGATACATTATTGTTAAGTGATATAAAACTTGAAGCATCATTATAAATTAACGATTCAAACTCTAAACTGGAAATTTGGTCCAAATCGCTGTGAAAACTGACAAGAAGACTTATTCAACAATGGAATTTGATTTCAAAGTAGCTTCCCAAATCATACCTGATTTTGCTGGTGACCATGAAAAAGTAATTGACTACATTGGCTCTGCCGAATATTACCATGAATCTTTGAAAGACGATGCAAACAAATCACTACTTCTGAATTTTCTTTTCAAAATAAAGCTTAAGGGGAAAGCCAAAAATGCAATTAGCACCCCTACAACATTCAATGAATTAAAAAGATGCATGATTGATCGTTTCAAGCCAAGGAATACACTTGCATCAGTACATTCTGTACTGAGTGAAACCAATCAAGGTATAAAATCAGTTTCAGCATACGCTGCTGGAATAGTATGCTTAATTAACGAATTAAATCAGATACATATAGCTTCCCAACGTAACGATGCACGCCAGACTATCTTGTACTAACCGATCAAGAAGCCCTGATTTTATTCAAAAATGGTTTCAATAGAGAAATCAGAACTGTTGTCTTATCATCAAGAGTGAATACCTTCAACGAAACTGTAGAAATAGCATTAGAAGCTGACATTTCAGGAAAATTTTCAGAATAATATGTATCACGTCAAAAGAACCCATGTTCGAAATTCATACCATAATAGAAGGGAAAATTATCGTTACAATAATAACTACGAAGATGGAAACCGCAAATCAAGTAACGACTTTGTACGAAAACACAACGATAGTAGATTTTTCCGGAATAATAGGTAAAAACCAAAATCAATTTCAATCACACAGATCGCAGACTCCTCAGAATAATTCGCGTGGTAGAACCCATTACCGCGAAACAAATGATCAATTTTCACAGCCAACTTCTTATAGAGGCCGTACCTCATATAATATTCACACAGCTGAAGCCTCTACCCAAGCGAATCATTCGGGAAACAACCAGAACCAACACTTGTAATGCCAAGAAAGAATGAGGGAGTTGGACATAAATTAATTTTCATAACAACTGACAATACCAATTACGTAGAATTTTACTGCGGAATGATACGTAAATTCATTATCCAGAAAAAAGGTGCGAAATAGGTGGAATAACAAAAAATGAAATCGAAACTCTCGGATTAGCAACGACTTTTCTAGACATAAGTGGTCGAAATTTACAATTTGATTTTCATCTAGTCACAACGACTTTCCGATTGCAATTGATGGTATAATAGGCCGAGATTTCTTGTCATAATTCAATTGCAAAATAGATTACAAAATTTGGACTCTAAGTCATCATCAGTGCATACTCGTCAGGTTAACAAGGAAATTTGTCCATAAAAATATCTCTGGTCCAGTTTAAAAATATCGACATCATGGTAAAATACGGTACAAACATATTAAAATGTTTAAAGGAAGAATAAATCTCGAAATCATCTCCACGACATTTAATGGGTGAACAAAATTATGTTGTAGAAAGAGGGACATGTTTCGGGCTTATAATAAGCCCATAATGAGCCGAGGTTTATAACATCCTTCCTGTTACTAGTTTATACTTTTGTAGGATGTTATAAACCTTGGCTGATGATGGGCTTATTATAAGCCCGAAACATGTCCCCCCTTTTCACAACATAATTTTGTTCACCCATTAAATGTCGTGGAGATGATTTCGAGATTTATTCTTTCTTTAAACATTACCACTCCACTTTGAGCAATATGGACTTCTTCACACGTTTATATTAAAATGTGTCTACCAAAAGGGGGTAAAATACAGATTACATTTTGTTGAGCAGCTATTATCGCTGCGACATATCGTGTTGAAGTGAACTTAGTTTCAAGTCAAGAGATAAAAAAAGGAATATTCACTATTAATATTATAGTACCAAGAAACGGTGTTGCACATATAAGATTAGTAAAT